CATGGCTATTCGCTATTTCTCTGATCTCTTCAGCTATTACCCTGTATTTGGTTCTATGTTTCTTATTTAATAAGACTGTTTAGAAATTCATCTCATATGTTTTTAGACAACAATTACTAAAATTTTACAAATTTCATATCTATAAATTAGACATTTTAAGCTCCTCATTTTATGAACAAAGAATCAAAGACCAGAAAGTCCCTAACTTAGACAAATATGCTATATCTTTCTTCTGTTTCCTGGGGCCCTAATTTCATATTGGTATATTACCTTCCCTCTTGGACCAAACCAAACACTTCTGGCCAGAGCTGGGGGCATTTAAGTGTCTGCCCCCTGAGAGTGCCCAGGAATAACCTGGCAGATGGATGTTTCAAGAACTACTTTTCACACACTGTTCCTCAGCTTGCTCTGTCCCTTAACTGTCCAGAGGCATATTGTGAACATGCTGTCTTGATTCCAAGCATCAGTCTTTCTGTTCACTTTGGGTTGGTATTACAGTGCAGTACCTTGGTTAGCATTTTCTCCTCTCCAGACAGTACCTCCATTTGGAAATTTCGGTATGTATTATCAATATTGCTGGTTTTATTTACTGCCGAGGTGAGTCCTGGGTTTTTGTCAATCATAACTTGGCCTAAAAGGTGAAAATTCATTATAAATACTGCTTGTTGTTTGTGAAATTATAATTAAAATACTTAACAGAAATGAACTACATTTTCTTTTGGTTTACAAATAAAAGCTGTACTTAGTGTGTGTAATTCTACCTACAATTCTAAAAAAAAAAAATCAAAGAGATAAGCTAATGACTTACAGCCTATATAGAATTTATGGGTACCTTAAAAAGTTTTTTTGGGGGGACTTGTGGTCTATCGTTTTCCACATTTTTGCTAAACACAGTCAAATAAACGCAAATATGAAACTGGCAAAGGATGGAACAAGAGGCTGTGAAGACCCTGAACAACAAATGGTCCCTGAAATGCCAGCAAAGACGTGCTCGTTTTTGCTGGCCTCACACCAAAGGTTTCTTTTACTCTGGGTTTGAAACAAATGCCTCCGGTTTGGAAATGTATTTCAGCCAGCAATGTTTACAACCAAGGAGACTGGGGTTCCTCAGAGTCGGACAGAAACTAAAAGTGTTCTTTTACTCGAATATTTATCATAGCTGAGAAGCTACAAAGACAAAAATATACATCAAAAATGACTTACTGTTGCTCTTTAATTAAGTCTGTATCTTTTTGCCAGCATTAAAATTTTATAAAGATCTATATGCTCTCATTTCATAAGGAAAGAACTTCATCTGTGAGTTAGTAAAATGTACTGAATATAAATTAGCTGAAATGCAATGAAATGCAATTTCAGAATTCAGAATACAATAAAAATAATGCATCAATGGCTCACTTACTGTGTTCTGCTTCAAATATCTGAACTCAATTAAAAAATTTTTTTTGAGAATTTCTGCAATGAGTTTGAGGCTGTTAACTCCCTTCCCCAACTCCTCCCGGATCCATCCCATCCCCCCTCCCTACCCACCCAATTTTGTGTCTTTTTTTCCCCACCAATCAAGTCCGGTTTGTGTGGCCCACATATTCAGAGCTGTATTGCCTTCCACCAATTTTCAAGATATAAAAGTTAATTTTAAATGAAATGTTAAGACATTAAAAGCAATTCTACAACTCCATAGCAAAAACTTAGAGCTTTGCACTTGTTTGGTAAGTCCACTGAGCGGTATCGCCAGCCAGAAGTGTTTTATTTTTAACCCTTGAGCATTTTATGAAAAATTAAAAACCAAGCATGACCAAGGGATGTTTTGAGTTAGGGTAGGCAGGCACTGACATGTGGGTAGGTAGCCCACATCTGACATTGCACCTAATCCCCACTCTCAGGGTCACTACTGTGCAGGATCAGTGTCTTTGTTAATAAAAACAGAGAAGCGGAGGGGTTGGGGATTTAGCTCAGTAGTAGAGCACGTGCCTAGCAAGCGCAAGGCCCTGGGTTCGGTCCTCAGCTCTAAAAAACAAAACAAAACAAAACAAAACAGAGAAGCAGAATGGCATTATCAAGTCCCAGCCGTGCAAAACACTGACTACTGCATCTTAAAGCTGTGAGTAATTCCCACAAATTTTGAAAATTATTGTATTAAAAAAGGCAGTAATCCACAGACTGCATGGATGCCGAGTATTTATATAAAATGATTTTGACTGGTCTTCCATCTAAAGAGTAAAGGCCTTGGGTCTCCGTGGAGCTACAATAGTGGGGTGTTCATTACAGTTTCTAAACAGCTAGGAACACTTAAAATGTCTTAAAGTGCTTAACTTAAAGAAGAGGCATAATTAGCTAAATCAATAAATGAACAGCATTGTATATCTGACTTTAATTAAAACACTGCCATTTTTGAAACTTAGTACTAAACATTGTCCCAGAGGCCTAATGGTTTTTTGGACTGAAAGAATTATGTTCAATATAGAGCACAGCTTTTGTGTGTGTGTGTGTGTTGGGAGACCCAAAGTCTATGCCAATCCTGTGACTAGAGAGAAGATATTCCAAAAGGCTCGTCATAAACAGGGATGGTGCTTATGATTTGGCTTCAGATTAAAACTAAACTACCCTGCTTCTCTAAGTTAGAATTTTAAAGTAAAAATTGAAGCACTAACATTAGAATCAGTCTTTTTTTTTTTTTTCTAGAACATGAATCTGACTATAATACACCTACCAATTAAATGCTTGAACGGCAGCTGATGGTCTCGGAGATTCAGGTGTGCGATGTGCCCAACCCTGCTGAACCCTGAGGTCACGTCTTGACCTTCCGGAAGCACAGCTCTCAAAATTTCTTCTGACTTAAAGTTTTCATAAGTTAGTTCCAAATTGTATTCGGATAACTGTGGACTGACATCGAGTTCTTCTAAAGCACCAAGTTCTGCCTTCTCAAAGGACTCAACGGAAAGCATTTTGAAGGGATCCAACATGATGAGTCTACTGTCCTCATCTTCGGGATCTTCAACGACACGCTTTATGCCCGGGCGCTGCAGGGCTACTCTCTTGAGGGCACGCATCAATCTGTTGACGACGTCTTTCCTCGCTTTGAGCACTGGGATGGACACTGTCTTTTTAAAAGCTGTCCTATCCAGTTCTGTCATTCCTCGAACACCAGAGGGTGGTGAAAATAACTCAGGATCTCTCATACTTGCTTCTGTTTCTGGCATGGTTGGGAATCCTTGTCTCTGACCCAACCAAAAAACACTAGGTGCTTTCCTAAGCCTTGGTACCAATGTCCTTGTGATTGTGGACAAAGATACAGATTCACTGGGGCGACACCATTCTACTTGCAGAAGTCTTCTTGAGAATCCCAATGGCTTCCATAAGATTCTAGGAAAAAGATTCAAAAACACCATCAAACTACATAGGAGTCCATTCACAACGGCTTGAGAATGAAAACAAACTCTTTTAAATCACCTGCTAAGTGCTGACTGAAAGTCTGAAAGGCATAGAGGGACAGTAGTCTCTCTTGCAGGACAGTACAATTTTTGTCACTGGTTAAACAATAAATTTGCGTCTTCAGTCTGCTTGCCCTTCTAACAGAAGGATTAACAGTCCAGCTGCCTCCCCATATTCAATGACCTCTGCTCACAATTTTCTACAGAACACACAGAGAATTGGAAGTGTGAAATCTGAGTTAAGGGGGATCTCTAAATGAAATGGTTACTATATTGGATGCCACCAATGGACATATTTCCTAGGATATTCTTACAGGCGTTTGTATCAGAAGCTTTATTATGAACTTTGTAAGCTAAGGAGTAAGTTAATCACCCAAAGTTGTGTGGCTGGTAAGTGGTTCAGCAAGGCCTAAAAGGTAGCTCGTCTAGCATGCATGAAGCCTTGGGGGTCTATCCCCAGCATCACTTATACCAGCCACAGTGGTGCCTGTCTGTAATCTCAGCAATAGGGAGACAGGAGGGTTAAAAGTTCAAGGCCAGCCTGGGACGCATTTGAGACCAATCTCAGAAGACAAAAACCTTGGTTAAGAATGACCTTAAGGGCTGGAGATATAGCTCAGCCGGAAGAGTGCTTTGCCTGGCATGCACGCACAAATCCATGGGCTTTCAGCACTGCATAATGGGTACAGCGGTGCAGGTCTCTGAGTCCAACACTCCACTCAGAAGAGCAGGCAAGGCAGGAGAATCAGAAATTCATCCTCCAGGCCAGCCTAGGTAAACGAGATCCTCTCCCCTCCCACGTGGCCTTAGTATATTGCTAGGATGCCATTCACACTGTAGTGTCATGGGCCTTGCCTGAAGTGCCTTGGCTTCGGTATTTTGATGGACAAGGCTTGACTGTGTGTTTGAAGCACAGTATTAGCTGTTCATTCCATCTTTTAAAACACGAAGTAAGTGGTAAAGGGTCCTGTCAGAGGCCACTATACTATAAAGCAATGAAGTTTAGAGTTATACTAGTATTTAATGAACCATACTGAAACTCAGTAATTCTAGGTGTCCATTTATTATTTGTAAAATGTGGATTAAAAACCATGAAAAGATTTTCGTGGTACTGGCAATCTAATCCTGGGCAATACTCATGCTCGGCAATCGTTCAAGCCACCGAGCTACATACACCCCAACCCTCCCCAGGCGTTTAACTGGAGCACGGCTGCTGCCGCCGGACCGTCAGATCTCTCTCATCACCCGGGACCCTTGCAACCCCTTCACCAGGCGCCCCTTCCCAAGTCCCGGAGGGCGGGCGAAGACCAGAACCCTCACCTCATGCTCTGGTGCAGCTCGGCAATGTCTCTTCTGCGGGTGGGCGTGGCCTCGGCGACGTCATCACTGTTGGCCGCAGAGGGAGCGTAGAGAGTCAGCTCTGGCGGACTCGCTCCGCTCTTCCTGGCCGCGGGAAGGTACGGGAACCCGGAAGGGCCAGGCCCGTAACTCCGCCCCTGACGCGGCTCCACAGGGCGCGTGGGGCCGGACCAGAGGCTCGCCGATGGACTTGGTAGTCGGCCGCGGAGCAGCATGCAGGCGTCGCAGGGCAGCAACCAAGCCGAGCCGGGCTGGTACGTCTCTGCCCAGCAGCCGGAGGAGGCGGCGGCTGCGGAAGAGTGGAGCCCGTTGCTAAGCAACGTAAGTGGGCTCCGCTAACAGCGCGGGGCTGCTGCCCTGCAGCATCCTCCAAGCGCTTGCTAGAAGAGTTCTGGACGTGAGGGGACGGACCCCGGGGTGGGACTCGAACCACTGACCCCAGCCGGGTTTGGAATGTGGCAGTCGCTTGGCGCGCTCAGTCCAGAGTGGGGCTTGGGACACCGGCCCGGCGGGATGAGCCAGGGTTTTGTGACTCACAGTTGTTTTGTATCTTTGTCGCCTTTCAATTTCCTCTAGTCTTGTGAGGTCTTTGCAAGAATCATGAGATGATTTTTTTTTTGGACTTAATCGTGGGGCGAAGGGAAAGGTGAGCTCTAGGCACTTTAATTCAGATGTCCCTGTAAGTGAGGACGAGGAGAGGGATCTGTACGCACACAGCTTGTCCTTAACCTAAAGCCGGGGTAGTAGGCTGTGTGAGCCCCAGGACCCCCGCCCCCTCTTCGGTGCCGAAGATCCGGCCCAGGACCTTGGGCATGCTAGACAAGCGCCCTAACCCAGTACTGCTTTCCAGTCCTGGGACTCCACTTTAACTGAAATCCATATACGGTTAACAGTGGATAGTTTTGCTTCTGTTGTCCCTGTAAGATATTCCTGATCGTCCTTGCTGGGCAGACTTAATTCATTAGGTATATAAATAAAAGGTTAGTTTTGCAGCCCTAGTACTTGGGGAGGAACAGTTATGGACAGCAGTTCCATGCTGACACAGGGATTCATCAGGAATCACGTGAGCTGAGGCCTCTTCCTTCTCTCAGTCTCCACCCTTTGTTTACCTTATCTTGATCCCTTGAAGTCACAAGAAAGGCCATGGCTCCTCCTGAGGCCAGCCTGGGCCCTGTACTGGAGGAGGTCTTTTTCTGAAAGACCAGGTTCCTCGAACTGCACCAAGAGGTCAAAAGGAAAGGAACAAGTGCTGTGTCCGAATTTGCTTTCTGGTGCTGTGATAAAGCCTATGACAAGAAGCAACTTGGGGAGGAAAGGGTTTATTTTATCTTACAGCTATAGTCCATCATGAAGAGAAGTCAGGGCAGGAACCTGGAAGCAGAAACGGAAGCAGAGGCCATGGAGGAACACTGCTTTTTGGCTTGCCCCTTCTGGCTTGCTCAGCTTGCTTTCTTTCAGGCGGGCCTGCCCAGGGATGGCACCACCCAAAGTGGGCTGTGCCCTTCCATGTCAGTCAGGAAAATGCCCACCCCCCCCCACAGGCTTGCCTGCAGGCTAGTCTGATGAGGGTATTCTCTCAGCTGAGGTTTCCTCTTCTCAGATGACTCTAGCTTGTATTATATGGACAGAAGACCTAACCCTGTCCTGGTTATGTAGTTAGTGTTGCACACAAATTCTCAGGTTTGTAGATCGCCTGCCTAATTTGACAGTGATGTTTGGACAGATTTTTAAATTCCTCATTCGGACGTTTAAAGTGGCTAAACCGTGTGTTTACAGGAACCTCACAGACAGCGATCTCCGGGTGTTTCATTTGGTTTCTCAGTCTTTAATGTGATGAACGCCATCATGGGAAGCGGCATCCTTGGATTAGCTTATGTGATGGCTAATACCGGTATCCTTGGATTTAGGTGAGGCCTGTTTTCGTATTTTATCATCACTTTTTCATTTTGATAAAGAATTCCGGTTCCAGAAGTTACTGGTCTACAATTTCTAGGTGGGTGATTGCTGAGGTTTTGGCATTGTTTTGTCACGCTTATGCCTCACTAATCTGTGGTTTGGAGGAATGCTGCATACCACCATCAGGCACTGCTTGAGGGATGTGTGCTCTTGTAAGAACATCAAGACGGAAATCAGTGACTCTTCAGACAGCATGGGCTTTAGTTGGAAAAGGACCTGCAGAGGGGGGACCTCTGGTGTAAGAACCTGAGCCTGTTGCCTTACAGGCTGGGGTAGTTAGTTACAGGGCACAAAAAGGGAAGGAGGAAGGCCACTGTAATGTTTCCCTTTTTGGCAGGTGGTTGCTAGAGGTAGCTAGGGGAGTGAGGTGAGTGGTGAGGATGTTACGTGATAGGTAAGCATCTTTTCCTGGTCACTCATTACTAGGGTCCATAGGGCACAGAGGGTGAGAATCTAGAAAAACAAGTTACTTTAGTCACTAAGGCCCGAATGACTTTAGTTTGGGAATTGTCATTGCTAAACCAAATGGAGCAGCCATGGCTAACGGTTCTGAAGCGCAGCGCTAGCCTGATTCATTGTTGGGTGATCCGTATAGAGTGTACTCAAATGTAGGTGGCGAGGCTGCTCACACATCTACGCTATATGGTGCAGCCTGTTGCTCCTAGGCTAAAGATCATGTAGTATAATGCATTCTGTTGTTAGTGCAGTAAAGCCATTGTAGCATAATGGTCTTTGTGCATCTAAACATGCAAGAGATTTAGTGAAAGAAAAGTGATGTTCCTGACTAGGACATGACTGGGAGCAGAGGTTCGAGGAGGGTCTGTCTGTTTGTTTTGTTTTTCTTTGTTTTTTGAGACAGGGTTTCTCTGTGTAGCCCAGCTGTCCTGGAACTTACTTTGCAGACCAGGCTGGCCTCGAACCACAAAGATCTGCCTCCTTCTGCCTCCCAAGTGCTGGGATTAAAGGAGTACACCACCACTGCCTGGCTAGAGGACTAGTTTTACGGGTCTTTTGTTTTGTTTTTAACTTTTTGATTCTTGCTATAACAGCTTAAAGTACAAACATGTCATTTACCATCTAAAACCTTCCTTTATGTCCTAATTCTATAAGGTTTTTAAAAGTTTAATCTGCTTTTATTTTAGTATTTTACTTTTTAAATTTTTTTCTTTAAAACTAAGACACAAACACACTCCCTACCTGAGAGCCAGGATCACCAACATCAGTCTCCATCCTCTTCCCCTGGGAGGTCTTCAGGGCAACACACAGCTGAAGCTATGGTCCAACAGGCCTTTTCTGAAGCTCCTGGAGGATTGGTCAGAGACTGCATTACAGTTAACATCCTCCATAACAAGAAGGAACCTGCTTCACACCTGAAGGATTGGTCAGAGACTGCATTACAGTTAACATCCCTCCATAACAAGAAGGAACCTGCTTCACACCTATAATCCCGGTAGTTGGGAGGTAGAGACAAGAAGATCAGGAATTCAGGGTTTTCTTCAGCCAATAAGTTCAAGACTAGCCTAAGCTACATGAAACCCTGCCTCAAAAAACCAACCAACCAACCAACCAACCAACCAACCAACAGAAATGACAATAAAAGTGTACTCTAAAGTCATGATTTAAAAAACACAGTATATTCTGGGCAGCCCCACGGCCATCACGCCACAGCTTCCCAGCGGGGCCATCCACGGTCTTCTGGGTGGCAGTGATGGCGTGGACTGTGGTCATGAGTCCTTCCACAATGCCAAAGTTGTCATGGATGACCTTGGCCAGGGGGGCTAAGCAGTTGGTGGTGCAGGAAGCATTGCTGATAATCTTGAGTGAGTTGTCGTACTTCTCATGGTTGACACCCATCACAAACATGGGGGCGTCAGCAGAAGGGGCGGAGATGATGACCCTTTTGGCTCCGCCCTTCAAGTGGGCCCCAGCCTTCTCCATGGTGGTGAAGACACCAGTGGACTCCACAACGTACTCGGCACCAGCCTCCACCGGTGCCACCAAGGCTGTGGGCAAGGTCATCCCAGAGCTGAATGGGAAGCTCACGGGCATGGCCTTCCGTGTTCCCACCCCCAATGTGTCCGTTGTGGATCTGACATGCCGCCTGCAGAAACCTGCCAAGTATGACGACATCAAGAAGGTGGTGAAGCAGGCGTCGGAGGGCCCACTAAAGGGCATCCTGGGCTACACTGAGGACCAGGTTGTCTCCTGTGACTTCAACAGTGACCCCCACTCTTCCACCTTCGATGCTGGGGCTGGCATTGCTCTCAATGACAACTTTGTGAAGCTCATCTCCTGGTACGACAATGAATTTGGCTACAGCAACAGGGTGGTGGACCTCATGGCCTACATGGCCTCCAAGGAGTAAGAAGCCCACCCTGGACCACCCACCCCAGCAAGGACAGCAAGAGAGACCCTCAGCTGCTGAGCAGTTCCTGTCCCATCTCAGTCCCCGATACTGAGCATCTCCCTCAGTTTCCATCCCAGACCCCCAGAACAACAGGAGGGGCTTAGGGAGCCCTACTCTCTTGAACACCATCAATAAAGTTCACTGCACCCCAAAAAAAAAAAAAAAAAAAACACAGTATAGTAATATAATAAATACATAAACCAATGATTTGATTATTTATTCTTCGTGAATAATCTATACCAGATGTAAAAGCATGTACTACACTTTGTGTGATTGGCAGTATAGTAGTGTGTTTTCCCCAGCTTCAACATGACCGTGAGTAATATGTTGCGCTATGACACGAAAACAGCCATAGTATCACTAAGACCTCATTGGTAACCCAGACATCATTATACAGTACAAGACTGGTGTTGATTTTTACTAATCTAAAAATGTGGCTAAGATTGTTGTTTTTGTTTTTTTTTTAAAAACTTGATTTACACTCATTTATAATTTTTTTAAAAGCCTCTTATTCAAGTTAATGTATGTCAGGTTGTCCAGTGTGAATCAAAACTTGTCAGTCATGCAAGTTAATATCAGTTCTGTGGCTATTTTCAAGAGTTGATTATGGGCCTGTGTCTTCATACTGTTCTATTGCTGTGACCAGACACTGTGCCCAAGGCAGCTTATAAAAGAAAGCAGTTACTGGGGGCTTGCTCAAAGTGTCCGACGGTTAATCCACCATCACCATGCTGGGGAGTGTGGCTGGCCGCAGGCAGGCAGGCAGGCATGGCACTGGAGCAGTAGCTGAGAGCTTTCACCCTGATCCACAGGCCAGAGGCACGGGACAAGACACACCTCCCAATCCTTCCCGATTTGGTCACCAACTGCTGAGCAAGCACCCAGTGCTGGCCAGGAGCCTCTGGGGGCCATTCTCTTGCCAACCGCCCCAGCCAGTTAGCCCCATGGTTTCTGGCTGTTGGTCACGTAGTGCTTTGTTTAGTCAGATTTTCATTGTCACCTGCTGGTTTGGGTTCTCTGAGTTCATGTCGGCTCTGAGCTGTGCAATCTTCCAGAACCAGACCTCGTACCGAGCACCCAGCACCGGGTTCCTTTGGCTCATTTGTCAGTAGAAACCAACGTCTCATTTCACTTTCCTCCCTTCTCCCCGCCTTTCTTGATAAGCAAAACAGCTTTTAAGTAGCCCGCTTTGGTTTTGTTGTGGGATGCGTTCACACGCGTTGACAATTCCAAAAACTGCATGGGACATGTCAGGCAACCCAGAATCGGAGAGCCTCTTCTTTTAAAGCTCTCTGAGAACTTCCTGTTTTATATCAAGAGTCTTAGATGCAGGTGGACAGCGCTGACAGTGGTCTCACTGTCAAATCAGAGGTCCCTTTGGTGGTTGTCAGATGTTAATTTGTGAGGTCTCCGATGCCAGTTCAGTGACCGCTTGCTGTTTACTAATAAGTATTACATGAGTCACAGAGAGGATTTCTCTTAAGTTCTGTGTGGTACACTGGGGACAGCAGCCTAGCTAGAAGCCTGCCCTGCTGGGATCTTCCTGAGAAGGAGAGGAATCATTTATGCTGTTTATTTCCACAGCGTTGGCACAGGTTTTTAAATTATGTCATTAAAAAGGTGTTAATTGCATTGTTTGGGTTTGAGCTGGTAAGAGGTGTATGTTCCACAGAGCCTAAGAATTGCTGTCGTGTTACTCCAGGTAAAGCTGTGGTTGGTTAATGGGTCCACATCACTGGAAGGGGAGGGAGTTGGGGAGATAGGGCACAAAGAAAACAGTGAGACTTGGACCAGGGAAAATGCGTCATTAAAGGGAACGTGTAGATAGATCACTGAAAGCTGAGCTGGCAGTCAGCAGACAGAGCAAAATGAGGAATTTGTGTTTCAAGTAACGCTTGTTCCTTTTGATTTCTCTTTTAATTTTCAAAGCACTGTATTTTCATTTAACTGCACCTCGGTAAATACAGAGCGGTCGTTTCTTTAATATCTGTAGTTCTACTACTCAGAGCTATTCCCTATGACCGTTTGACTGTGAAGAAATCTGTAATGAGATGTCATGAAAAAGAGCAAGCTTGGGGAAACCTTAACTGTGTGATCTTCTATATTTCAGTTTCCTGCTGCTGTTAGTTGCGTTCCTGGCCTCCTACTCAGTCCACCTCCTGCTGAGCATGTGCATTCAGACAGGTGAGTAACACACCGCGCTCTCACTCCACCCCGTCTCTTGAGTTTGTATGTGCAGAAGAAGTGAGTGTCTCGGATCTGAAGTCTGAGGGCGAAGGTGCAGTGTAGCTGGAGTTTTCCTGCCTGGCCCACAGTCAGGACAAATCTCTCTCACCTGCCAGTCCCACAGCCACTCAGACCCGACCAAGTAAACACAGAGACTTATATTGCTTACAAACTGTATGGCCATGGCAGGCTTCTTGCTAACTGTTCTTACAGCTTAAATTAATCCATTTCTATAAATCTATACCTTGCCACGTGGCTCGTGGCTTACCGGCATCTTCACATGCTTTTTGTCATTGTGGCGGCTGGCAGTGTCTCTCTGACTCAGCCTTCCACTTCCCAGCTTTATTCTCCTACTTGTCCCGCCTACACTTCCTGCCTAGCCAATGGCCAATCAGTGTTTTATTTATTGACTAATTAGCAACACATTTGCCATACAGAACATCCCACAGCAGTGCAGCTCAGTGGTAGCATCTATATTTAGCAAGCACAAACAAGACCCCATTTGGAACTCCAGCATGACACACAACTCGAAGAGTCTAATTTCCAGTGAGCACATGTCATTAAGGTGTGGTGATCGGTTTTGATGTCTTGAGCTGAGGATGAAAGCTGGGGTTTGTATCACCTCTCTCTCTTATCTTTGGATTAGATTCGTGTTGAAGTTCGACACAAGCTTTATCTCTCTCTGCATGGGCAAGCTCGATTTGCTCTCACTGGTCTTGTGGCTTTCAGACTTACAGAAGCAACTACATGTACAAAATAGAGTTTTTAAGTGGAATTATTCTAGGCTCAAACAAATGAGAACCCTAAAGGGAATTTTTGAGAATTTTAAGACTCTTGAACAAAGTTCTAAACCACCATTCTATTTTATTTCCCTTGTTTATACATCAGAAATTCCTATCTTTTTTTTTTTTTTTTTTTTTTGGTTTTTCGAGACAGGGTTTCTCTGTAGCTTTGCGCCTTTCCTGGAACTCACTTTGTAGACCAGGCTGGCCTCGAACTCACAGAGATCCGCCTGGCTCTGCCTCCCGAGTGCTGGGATTAAAGGCGTGCGCCACCACCGCCCGGCCCTATCTTTTTTTTTTAATGAACAGATTTTGTAACATATCAACTAGGTGATTCTTATGCAAAACCACTTAGTATTCACAGCTCAGAGCTGTAACTCTGTACCAGTGGTTGGATGGCTTTGACCATCAGGCTTCCCGATGCATGCCTCTGCCCTCAGGGTGAATGTACAGGCAGATTAAAAAACAACAACAAAAGACGGTGTAAGGTAGCAAGCTGTGATAGCAGCATCCTGAATTCAGGAATAATACCTTCAAGTAGCATTTGTAAATCCTGCCAGGAATATCAATTGCAGCTTTTTTGCATGAAAACAGTTCTTTAAATTAGGATAGTTCTTGTAACATTGTAATACATTCTTTTGATAAGTGCTATTAAAGGATTAAGACTTTAGTCAACTGTGTGTGGCAGTCAGTTTTATTTTAGTTATTTGGGAATAGTATTTAAATTTGTGGAATTTTAAAAAGTGGTATTAATTTTATCCTTTGGACCGTTTAATCTTACATTTCTGACACTTGTTCTTTACCTCTGGGGCACACAGTGAAAATGTCTGTTTCTCTCTCCCTTTCCTTCCCTTTTCCTTTTGTAGCTGGCTTGGGTCCGGGAACTAACCTCTCATGGCTCTCCACTCACGTGCTGCCCCTGTCTCCGCTGATTGATTCCTCAGTCTCTGTAAAGCTCTCAGTCCAGGTAGGCTCCTGCACAATGTACTCACGTAGACTGGAGAGGAACGTGTGCTAATCGCCTCTTAGTTGACTGTCGTAAAGGGTGCTGTGTTCAAGTTGGAGTCACTGGTCAGAAAAGAGTTATTTTAAGTCTTTATAAAAGGTAATGTCTTCCTTTTCTTGTCTAGAGTTGAAAGACAAAGAGGAAATTTTATGTTTATAAAAGGAACGGGTCTTTTCACATGAAACACTCTTACTTGAAATTTTAATCAGGGTTGTGGTCTGTCAGGATTCTCTTGGGACCTGAGGAGACATGTCAAGGTGCCATATGCCCCCAGCCTTAGTGTGTTGACTGTGAAATGGTCTTGGCAACACTTCCTTCCTAGAATAAAACAAAGTCATGAATGTAAGAATGTCAGATCCGTGGTGAATGCTGAGTTCTCACTGGGATGGAATCCCAAAGGACTGTGAGGTCTTACAGATGATGTAATCTCAGAAGCAGGTGGCTGCTGGTCATCCTTTGAAAACATGGTTTATGCTCTGGGGTTAGAACAGTCCCTGTCCCGTCGCCCCAACCCCCAACCCCCCACCCCACCCCGGCCTCCACATCACTATCAGGAGGGAGTGAGTGTTCTGGAGAACTGTACTGCTTCTGGCTCCTCATCCCCACTGTGCACTACATTATCACCATGGTGTGCATTCAGACTCATTGGTTTAATGGTATTATAATACTCATCTCAATGATGTCAGTTATTTCAGGAGTCTCATTTATCTTTCGTTCCCCAGACCCCGTGTGTTCACTGTCTATTTTCTGACCTTGTCTTTTACTGTTCCCCAACTCCAAAAACCCAGATCATCATGGTGGGAAACATGGCAGCAGGAGGCAGGCAGGCGTGGTGCTGGAGCAGTAGCTGATCTGCGGGCAACAGGCAGAAAAAAAGCTAGAATGCGCCTGGTGTGGGCTTTGGTCACCCCTAGTGACCCCCAGTGACACACCTCCTCCAACAAGGCCACACCTCCTAATCTTTTCCAAACAGTTTCACCGACTGGAGACCAAACATTCAAATATATGAGCCTATGGGGACATCATTCTCATTCAGAGCACCCCAGTAACCCTGGCTGGCCTGTAACTTCCTTTTCTTTTTAAGATTAATTTCATTTGTGTAGAAAAGTATGTATATCGGTGCTTTGTTGTGTATGTTGCACACAAGAGGGCATTTGGTCGTGAGCTACCATGCAGTTGATGGGAATTGAACTCAGGACCTCTGGAAGAGCAGCCAGTGCTCCGAAGGGCTGAGCCTTCTCTCCAGACTGGCCTGGAACTTCCTGTGTAGACCAGGCTGACCTTGAATTGACAGAGTTCCACATGCCTCTCCCTCCTAAGTGTTGGCATTCACGGCATGCACCACCATGCCCAGTTCCCTTTACTTTCTTACCTGCCGTGAAAACTCAGGCCTCTTTAAGAACAGCATTTGTTATATTGACTGTGCTCAGCAGTGTCGGAAGAGATTTACATGTGTAATCTTCTGACAACTGCATGAGGTAGATTTTGTCATATGTGCCAAAGACTGGCAAAATGAGACCACAAGAGATGACGTGTTTCCCCAGGGATGTACAGCCAATTGGTTGGTTAGAAGAACTGATCTTGCACTGCACAGTCTGCTGCCATTTCCCACCATGCAAACCTTGAGGCTTGTTTTCTGGAGGAAGTAAAAGAGAATCCTGCACTTGACCCTGAGTCATCTTTCTGAAGGCAGAATGTAAGTGAAAGTCGGCAAGCCAAGGACGAGTCCCGCTCACAGTTCTAGAATGCTGGCGCGGGCATCTGCTCTCATCAGGGATTAGAGGAGTACTTCATACAGAATTTCTTCTTCCCCAAATAAAATGCCTCGAGCTGCAAATAACGGGGGCACCTTTCAAGAAAGGCATGGCTTCTTCCTGTGGGACTGTTGTGTGATTATGCCGGTCGCTCAGTAAGCCAGAGCTTCCGTTTACCCTCTCAGTACCTTACAGTGTGTCAAGGGACAGCCAGGTAGTGCAAGACAGTTCAGAGAAAGATTCAGGCTAAAAACAACCACAGAAAGAACACAGAAACAGCAGTGAGATGCCTTCGAAAAGCTACTCAGGTGACAGATCCCGAGCAGTGTCACGACAGATGCTGAGAGGAACAAGAACTGCCTTCCCAGCCACCCTGGAATGCAGCTGCGCAGCTTTGTTGTTGTTGTTATCTGTTCTTACAAAGCTATACTTGTACTACAGGGTCTGCCAGGTTTACCCCTCTTGGCATTTACCCACAGACTTTTGTGTCTACACAAAACTTACATATAGATGTTTATAGCAATTTTATTTATAATTGCCAGGGAGTGACCACAATGCCCTTCAGTTGATGAATGACTAAGCAGACTGTGACATTGAAACAACAGAAAATTATTTTGTACTAATAAAGAGTGAGCTGCCAGGCCCTGAAGTAGCATGGAAAATTCATAAAAGCATGTTATCGGGTGAAAGAAACCATATGCTCCAGAGTTCTGCTTGAGGTATGTGTACATAGAAAATGAAGCCCATACTTTGTGGGGATAACCTATGCTACTTGTTCACTGCAGCATTATTCACAGTCCTGAAATATAGAAATACCCTGTGTGTATAGTTGGAAGTTTTCCTGTGTCCTGCCCAGTCCCGCAGCCACTCCAGCCGAAGTAAACACACAGAGGCTTATATTATTTACAAACTGTATGGCCTATGGCTTTAGCTTCTTGCTAGCTAGCTTTTTCATCTTAAATTAACCCATTCCTATTAATCTATATGTTGCCACATGGCCATGGCATTGTCTGCTGGCATCTTGTTGCTCCTTTGATGCGGGCTGGTGTCTCCTTGACTCTACCCTTTCTCGTCTCCTCTTAGTTTGAATGTACCACCTAACCTTTTCCTGCCCTGCCATAGACCATTGCAGCTTTATTTATTATCCAGTGGGAGCCACACATATCCACAGCATACAGAAAGACATCCCACAGCTTGTGTGTCTTTAGGTAGATGGATAAGCAGTAATCTATATGTGTATTGGAATATCATCCAACCTTTAGAAGCAGGCTCAAAAGGGGAGTCTAGCCAGTGCTGGGAGCATGGGGGAGCCTGGAAGACATTATGATAATGATAAGTGAAATAAGCCAAGCAGAAAGAAAAACTGCATGTTCTCACTTACATGTGGACACTAAAACGGCTTAGTTTCAAAAACAG